ATGGAAATCCGCCGGCCCACCCCCAACATGGCACCGAAGACAGATTACCATCCTAAAAGACCACCCTGGGCCCACGCCCTGTCTGGCAAGCCAAAAAAAAAAGGTAGAGGGAAACGATCAGTGGACACTCCCCCCCCACCAAAACTCAAAGTTGGCACGCGCAGGGGGGAAGACTGCCGTCGAAGTGCAACTAAATAAACCCATCGTCGACTTTGATCGTTGGGGGGGCATTGACAGATGAATGTTGCACGAGCGTTCGCCAACTTCTTCCGAGGCCTGCATCCTGAACCCAACGGCTTTCTTCATAAACACCTGTTCATCCCGAGTCGTTTTCTTGCTGGTCCCGAAGCTCGGGCAGGGCCCTGGAAAGCCGAGACTGGCGACACGTACCTGGAGCCCCTGGCCCCCAGAGCCCCTCCACTCCCGTGGCCCGAAGGGCCGACGAACGGCACTGGGACCCGCCCTGGAGCGCACTCTGGCCAGAACTCCCGAGGGACTCCAGCCTGGGCAACGAGGACGCTCCAGCAGGCCCACGCAGGGGCCAAAAATACGCCCAGGACCTGCGCGCCAGGGAGGCCGAGCCTCCCTCGACAGAATCCGCGCGCGCCGCCGAGCGAGAGGGCCCCGCCCCGCCAGGAACATGAAGGACGCCATGGCCCCGCCGGCGGCGGCCGCCTGGGCGGAGGACGCCGGGCCCTCTGCGCACGGACGCAGAGGGCCGGTGCGGGGGCCCCGCGGGAGCCGGGGCCCGAGGATGCAGGCGGGGTGGTTTGGAGAGGACACGCGAGAGGACTCCTCCTCCTCCTCGTCGTCCTCCTCCTCCTCCTCCTCCTCCTCCTCCTCCATCTTCTCCTCCCCCTCCCCCTCCTCCTCCTCCTCCTCCTCCTCCTCCTCCTCCTCCTCCTCCTCCTCCTCCTCCTCCTCCTCCTCCTCCTGGAGACCGCCCCTGGGTTTTGGACGCCCGAAATGGGTGCGGAAAATACAGGTACACTGCCCAACAACAAGTGTTGTCCCAAACCAACAGCGGCCGCTGTTGGGCAGGCGGCCTGCTGTCTCTCGTGGGCACAGGCCGCGGCGGCGCGGACAGCGAGCCCTGTTCAAGATGAGCAGGAACTGCTGTTGGGCATTGTACCCGTTCTTTCCGTACCCATTTCGGGCGTCCAGATCCGATGGCCACAGTGCCAGGGAAGCGTAGAGGGCATGGGTCGCGAAGCACGGGGCACGAGGGTACCCTCGCTCGGGCAGGGCCGCCCCTCGTCGGGGAGGGCGCCAACGGTGCGCACCCGCACCGATCCTGGCAGGGCCCATCCTGGACCCGGGGCCGGTGCATGTGCCCTCCCGGCGCGAGCAGGGAGGCACAGACTTGTTTGATCCGCGGGTCGAGAGCGCACCTCTTCCGGTCGAAGCTGAGCGGGCCGCGCACAGTTTTAATTAACAGAGGAAAGAGGGCAGAAGGAGGTGACTACGTACCAGACCACCCCAACCCAACCCGAAGACCCGAATTTGACTCGAATTTCGGGTTGGGGGGGTACGGGTTCCATGTGTTTTTTCTATGTTCCCTGACCCCCCCCCACTGGAAATCGAGGATAAATTTAGGCCTTCGGTTTGGGTTGGGGTGGTTTGGTCGGTCTACAGGAGGAGCCTCACGTCAAGGCCAAGAGGGGGCAAAGCCCCGGCATCAGGCGGCGAGGGAGGCACAGACACCAGATGCTGGGATCGGTACAGGCGAACAATCAGCGTCCTCCGAGGCCCGACGGCCTGCGAGACCCTCCGAGGACCTCGGGACCCAGACCTCTGGCGTCGTGGCTTGCTCCGTCCAGGCGACGTCTGCTATCCTCGGCTTCCTGGCGTGGGCTTCGGACCCCGGAGCGAGCAAAAGCTGCTCGGGAGAGGGAACCTCGAAAAAACTCCTTGCCTTAAGTCGGGCGTGTCCCCCTACAGGGGGATCTTGGACAAAAGATAAGAAACTACTCACAAAATCCCCCCCCGAATGGTCCAAAATACTACAAACATCGTTCCCAGCATGTGTTTTACTACTCTTGACTATTCCCCCTGTAGAGGGACAGGCCCGACTGAATCCTTGACCCAGACGGCTGATGTTTTGATTTGTTCAGCGCGTGGGCCCCAGCGCTCTCGACCTCGTCCTGGAATCCATGTCTTGCCCCACGCAATTGTCTGACGGCCCCCGTGCCTGGAAACGGCCCCTGGAGGCCAACACTAACGGCCCCTGGAGGCCAACAACAACAACAGCATCAACAACAACAGCAACAACAACAACAACAACAACAACGACAACAACAACAGGACAACGACAACAACAGCAACAACAACAACCAAAACCATCACCACCACCACCACCACCACCACCACCACCACCACAACAACAACAACAACAACAACAACAACAACAACAACAACAACAACAACAACAACGACGACGACGACGACGACAACAACAACAACAACTGCAACAACAACTGCAACAACAACAACAACAACTGCAACAACAACTGCAACAACACAAACAATAATAACAACAACAACAGTAACAACAACAGTCATCAACAATCATGTTAAGACAGGTCGTTCTTATTCGAACGCGTACCACGCAACACGTATATCCCAAACCCTCGATACATGCCCTCTTTGTCTTCGACCGTGCCCTCTCGGGGCATATCTTCCATACCTGCCGCGCACATTTAGCGCAACCCCTAAAACAGGGGAAGGGCGGACGGACGAGGGAAGAGAAGGATGGACCACGCGAGAGGGCCTCTCGAAGCAAATCGCGAGGAAACATCGAGCGGGAGCCCTTGTCATCGTGGCTGCGTCCCCACTAATTTGACTGAGTTGCGAGGGCGTCCACAGCGAGAGCTCTGTTCCTGAGTTCGGGAACCTCTCTGGCCAGGGCCTCCCAGATCGCGAGGAAATATCGAGCGGGAGTCTTGTCGTCGCGGCTGGGAGTCCGCGAACTTGATTGAATTGCAAAGAAGTCTCATGCGAGAGCGCCGTTCCTGGGACCTCTGCGGGCTGGGGCTTCTGTGGGCTGCGCTGGGGAACCTCAGAGGGCAGCGCGCTGGGGCCTCTGCGGGCGCGTTTGGGGCCCCTGCGGGCTGGAGCCTATGTGGGCGCCCGTGGGGCCTCTTTTGGCTGTGTTGGGGGGCTTCAGTGGGCAGCGTGCGGAAGCCTCGGCGGGCGCGTTTGGGGCCTCTGTAAGCTGCGTCGGGGGCCTCAATGGACAGCGCGCCAGGGCCTCTGTGGGCGCGCTTTGGGTCTCTGCGGGCTGGGGCCTTTGTGGGAGCGTTTGGGGCCTCTGTAAGCTGCGTCGGGGGCTTCAGTGGGCAGCGCGCGGGGGCCTCTGTGGGCGCGCTCGGGGCCTCTGCGGGCTGGGGCCTTTGTGGGCGCCCTCGGGGCCTCTGTGTGCTGCGTCGGGGGGGTTCAGTGGGCATCGCGCGGGGGCCACAGTGGGCAGCGCGCCAGGACCTCGGTGGGCAAGGGCCTTTACGAATACATTTTGAAGAAGCATCGCACGGGAACCCTCGTCGTCGCATGTGGGCCTCCACCAATTTGACTGAATCATGAGGAAGTCTCGAGCGAGAGCGCCGTTCCTGAGTTCGGGGGCCTTCCTGGCCAGGGGCTCTCGGAGTAAATCGTGAGGAAGAATTGAGCAGGAGCCTTTGTCGTCGTGGCTGGGCCCCCGCCAACTCGATTGATTTGCGAAGAAATCTCCAGCGAGAGCGCCTTTCCTGAGTTCAGAGGCCTCTCTGGCCAAGGTGTCTCGAAGTAAATTGTGAAAAAGTATCGAGCAGGAACCGTTGTTGTCGTAGCTGGGCCTCCAAGGGCGCACTTTCAGGATCAAGCCAACGCTCGAGCGGGAGCCTCGCTTTCGCGAGGCAAGAGCGCCCGGAACCGTTTCCGGAGATCAACAATAATTATTCTCGATACATGAATATTCAACAACCACAACAAACAATCATTATAAGACTGTTCGCTCTTACTTGCTCGTGTGTCATTCAAAACGAATTCCCCATACCCTCGATGCCCGCCCTTCTTGTCTTCGATCACACCCCCTTTGGGGGGATTCTTTCTCTTTGCGGGGGGGCGGCGGGCTTAGACAGGCGGGCAAACCTGAACGGGCGGACAATCCTTCGTGGGCGTACATGTGCCCGCCATTGGAATTGGTGTGGGCCCTGCAAAAAGAGGAGGGGGAGAACGAGGGACAGTTGGAGGAAGGGAGGGGGAGGGACGAAGGAAAAAGGAAAACGCCAGGAGAGAAGGAGCGAAGAGGGGTGCGGTTGATTAGAGGCAGAGAGAGAGAGAGACAGACAGATACGAGAGGTAGAGAAACAGAGAGAGAGGGGAGAGAGAGAGAGAGAGAGAGAAAGAAAGAAAGAAAGAAAGAGGGAGGAGGCAGGAGAGGGGAGGGAAAAGGGAGGAGGGAGAGGAGGGAGAGGGGATAGGGCAAAGAGGCATACGGATGAGGGAAGAGAGGAGGGAGAGAGAAGGGAGGAGAGGAGGGAGGAGAGGAGGGAGGAGGGAGGAGGGAGAGGGGGGAGGAGCAGGAAGGTAAGAACGTGAACGTTCGAAGAGGTCCTAGGCGATAGCGCCGTTCCTGAAGGAAGTCTCGGGCGGGAGCCCACGACGGGCGGGCGATCCCCTGACGGGCGGGTCCGGCGTGTGGGACATTCAAGCGGGATGCTTGAGTATTGCGAGAGCGCGATCCCTAAATAAATTGTGACGGCGTCCTTGGCGCAGCGTGTTTCCTGAGCGTCGAAACCGCGATTTCTAAATGAATTGCCAGGAAGTCACAGGCGAGAGCGCAATTTGCTGAATAAAATGTGAAGGGTTCTCTGGCGGGAGCGGGGGTCTTGATTAAATTGCGAAGAAATCTTGATTAGATCGCGAAGAAGTCTCAAGCGGGAGCGCCGTCTCTGAATTGCTCGCGTGCCATTCAACACGTATATCCCAAACCCTCGATACCCGCTTTCTTCGTCTTCGATCGTACCCCTTTGGGGGTGTGTATATATATATATATATGTGTATATATATATATATGTATTCCCTGCAACGTGTATTTCGTGCAGCCCCTGAGGCAAGGGAAGAGAGGACGGAGGGAAGGAAGGGACAGGGAGGAAGGAGGAGGATGGAGCACGAGAGAGAGAGTAGCAGGAGAGGGGCTAGGAACAGAAAACACGTGGCAGAACCAGACAGGGAGATCCTGCGGGTAGACCCTAGCGGGCGGGTCGGAAGGAGGGCCCAGGCGGCCAGGCAGAGCAGGTGGGTCGCTGAAGCGTGCGCCCTGCATGAATCGCGAGAGAGTCTCGAGCGACAGCGCGATTTCCAAATAAGTCGTGAGGAAATCCACAGCGAGAGCGTGATTCCTGAGTGTCAAGGGCGCGGCGTCTGGACAAAATAGCAAGGGAGTACCACGCAAGAGGGCGATTCCTGTATAAGTTGTAAGGAAAACCCGCGCGAGAGCGCTATGTCAAAAAAAGTTGTGAGGAACAGGCGGGAGTCGCTGTTGTTGTAGTCTGGGGGCCAGGGGCGCAGTCTGAGCACCAATTCTTTCCCTGGAAAGAAACGGGGTGCGAGCCCCAGGAAGGGCACTTCAAACTGAAAAAGCACCTACGAAACTGGAAGAGGGGGATCAACAAGAA